TATATATATATATATATATATATATATATACATATATATATGTATATACATGTACGAGATTGTATATACATATATATATTGGTATATGAATGTTCGCGCGTGCGTGCATATCGAGCACCGTTTCGATAGGATTATATTCGATTCTCGTGCGTACACGCCTCGCTCGTCAAGCTCACTACTACATATACATATACGTGCATGTATCCTACATCTATGTGTACCCTTGATATCGCGATCGACGCACGAATCACGGAACCTTTACGAAGGGTTCGACGATGATGGAATTTAGATCGGCCGAAAGCAGATTTTATTGAGATCGATCGGACGACGGATTCGCAAGCGACGAAATTAAGATCGCTCGTTTGTGAAAAATGGCGTTATCGTTCGAGAAAAACGGCTTTTTCTACCGTTTTTACGACTACCGTTCTCCTGATGATGGATAGTTTCGGCAGATGGTAAGGATGGACACGACGATGGAACGTTTCCCTCTCTTTCTCTTTTTTCTTTCTCACTCTTTCTCTCTTTCTCTCTCTCTTTTTTCATTCTTTCTTTCTTTTTTGTTTCACCTCCCCCCTCCCCTCCCCTTCCCGCCGGTCCACCTTCCTTTCCATCTTAATTAGATATAACTCACTTTGGTAATTAGTTTGTCCTCGAGATAGATTATCTAAATTATTATTCAAGTCTAATTTAAGATTCTTCGCATAAGTCATCAATCATAATGAATGAAATTTATCTATTATATAAATATAGTGAAATACATCTATGACAAATTTGTAATATACAACCAAATTTGTGTTGAACATTCGATGTAATAAGAAAAAAAAACACAACATTTTCTATTTAACGTTAAACGAAATTACGATATGGATTTTCCAATGTTATAATTCATTCGACTAGTTAGATATTCTCTCTCTCTATCTCTCTCTCTAGCAATCTCTGTAATCGCTCGTCGTATAGATCAAAGGCCGTTACCTTGTGAAATCAGGAACACACTAGTCGGTATTATCATCTTCGGTGGTCGCCGTACGATTTCACGAAGGACATGTCGATATCATACGGGACGCCTTGGTGTGGATCAAAGCGTAGATTTCTAGTATGGGAGAACGACATTGTCAAACTCTCTCCTTCTCTCTCTCTCTCTCTCTCTCTTTACTTTGCAGAGATGGAACGGACGGTAATTATAACGTTGTCGTTGGCGTGTTAGCAGAAATGAAGAGAGAGAGAGAGAGAGTGGGAGAGAAAGAGGAAGGAAGGAAGGAAGGAGGGGTGGGAGGGGGTAAAGGTCCTTACGAGTTGTTCACAGCAACAGCAACAGCAGCAGTAGCAGCAGCAGCAGCAGCAACCGACAAACGACGGCTCAAACATTGCAGTGCAAAATTCACAATCTAATCCAACTAAGGAAATTAGTCGCAACTTCCTGGGCGCTGGCTACGCACACGTTGGTGTACCTTGGTGTCCCTACCATCTACTCTTGCATTCCCAGAAACTTAGATCAAAGGGGACAACGCGCGCCCGTTTCATGAAAGGTCGAGTAAGAGAGGAGTCTCTTGCTATTACCGTTCGTTCCATTGCCTTCTAATATCATTTGGGATTTGACACGATATATTATTCGGTTATGCAAAAAATCTTTCATAATTATTCATTAACGCGAAATCTCGCTGTTACGATTGATTTCATTTTTAACGTCCATTCGGTTTGCATTAATTTCGAATTTACGATTAATTCTTACATTATATTGGTCTACATTTACGAATCTATTATATTATTCAATTAGTTGTTTCTCTCCGTCTCCAAAAATAAAATTATTAATAAATAGTTATCGTAGGAAATTTGGACATTCAAAAGAACTAGAACTTCGTTTTGATTAATTAAACGTTTCGTCCCTTTATTGGAACTTCTTCAGCAACTTAATCTCTATTATATTATATTATCTTAGTGTATAAAAATATCCTTTTTTATTTCATTTCGATCGAAGTTAACCTATTTATTTTTCGTCTTACACGGATGTATGTTTTACCTAGGACGAATTACCAACAACCAATCACTAATTGAAATAGAGAGAAAGATAGATAAAGAGAGATAGAGATAGAAATAGAGAGAGAATGTGAAATACGAGATACTAAAGCCACCTTTCTCACAGCTATTTACGCGGGAGCTTGAATTTGCGGAAATACGCTTGGATTTCCGGGATCTGTGCCGCGAATCGGTTAACGAAAGTACCATCCGAACCGTTCTTTTCCGGCTGGATACGGCCGTTCAAACGAGCGGGAAGCAACGCGATAGGAGGAACCCCTTGCTGGTATAGAGAAAGTCTCGTTGGTAAAGGAACGAGGACTTATGTATGTGTGTGTGTGTATGTCTATGGAGTAGGGGGGAAACCTAACGGCAACACTTCCGGGACGCAATATCGTTTCGTGCGAGGCAGACTGTAATTCCCACTTGCTTGGTCTTCGGAGGTAACAGAGAACGAGCAAGAGAGAGAGAGAGAAAGAGAGATATAGAGAGAGAGAAAGAGAGGGTGAAGGGGGTGGAGATAGAGGCAGCAGAAGCTGCGTCTGTTGATTATCCGAGCGGCAAACACGGCGCATTGTTATCGATTGGGCCAACAATCTACCGCCCCCATATTGACGCAATACTGCCTCGCAGTTGCATAATGAATGGTTGGCTAATGACCCTACGGAGGTTGCGGAAACCGCAGCGAGAGGATGCTGGTCTCGAGGCACGAAGCGTTTCCGGCATCGGACGTTACTACATCGCCGCCACGACCGAATTATTTCGCCGATCGTCCATCGTCTCTATCTCTATTTCTCTATTTCTCTATTTCTCTCTCTCTCTCTCTCTCTTTCTGTCTCTCTTGCTCTTTCTGTATCTGTCTTTCTCTCGAATTTCTATGATCTTTCTCTTCAACTCACTTCTACATAATGCAAACACATTTATTGTGTACGTTCCTCTAAGTTTTATCATTATTATATTATGTATCTCCATAATTGATGAAAGTTGTTTAAATCGTAACACATATCTCTTGTTTTCGAAATATTTAACAGGGCATCAATGCAAGGAAGTGTTTATACCAGTTGATTATTTGCCCTGAAAATTCTTAACTTTATTTTTAGAGAGTATCATTCGATTTCAATCGGAGCTTATTCAATTAATCCTATATTGAAAGTATAATATATATATATTTTTTTTAAGATACAGTATATATATTCTAGAGGTAAAAATATATCGGCAAGGTGGCGTTTAAAAAACTTCAATGCGAATATCAAAGATTGCAGACGTGCCAATTTGCACACTTTTCGGCATTCTTAGGTCAGAATTGACTGTCGTAACGAAAGGGTTAAGGAATTACATTTGAACGATAAATGATTCTCGTATAATGTTGATTTAACAAGTATTATTTAACGATTCATTTTTAATAATATCGAATTAATTTAATTTGAAATAATGTATGACGGCGAAATATAACCGATAAATTAAATCTTTTTCATAAAGATACAATAATTCTCTTGAAATAGTTCCCAAATAACATGATGCGATCAAATCGAACAAATTATTATGCATATACGTATTTATAAATGATTTTCAACATTATTCTGATTAATCAATACACACATTTTATTCTACAAATTAATTATATTTAATTGTACGGAAAAATCATCGATAATATATATTAAATATTTGAATATATTATATTAAACGATATAAAACATTTTTAAATCATTGATATCTTTTCTGCTTTCAGTTCCGTCGAATACGTGGACGCTAACAAGCAAATTCTGACCACCAGTCTGACGCGTCATTGTAAGTACCCATTATGTATGTCGTCGTAACGTTTAATGCTCATCACAATCTCTCTCTCTCTCTCTCTCTCTTTCACTCTCTCTTTCACTCTCTCTCAACTTTTTCCTTACCTTCGAGCGTTAGAAAAATCTCCTAATGGCTCTTTATCTTCTTTCTGCACGCCCAACTCCCTCCCTCCCCCTTATATCCCCTTGCCTATCCCTTAGCCCTTACACCCTCCTACCCCCGTAGCTCTTTCTTTCCTTTTACGAACACTTTGCGGCCATTTTTTGTCCCCCCTACCTACTTCTGTATTAAAGAATTGTCGGAAAAGATGAAGTCTCTCGCGATCCTTGAAATGCAAGGACGAGTCCTTGCGAGCTTTACTTAAAATTCTTCCAAGCTTGATTCTTTTGTAGTCTGAGAAAAAAAGAGGATAATAAATAAAGAAAAAAAAGAGAGAGACAGAGAGTGACTGAGAGGGAGGGAAGGAGAGAGAGAAAGACAAGAACGGCTTTCCGTCACTTTGCTCGAGTCTCGTTGCGGTTTTAAGAACGAAACATTTAAACGAGAAGAGTAGAGAATACTGGTTGGTTAAAACGGTGTGTGGGGGTGGGAGTTGGTGGGAGGGATGAGAAATAGGGGTGGTGGTGGTTGTGGTATTTCTACGGGTCGCGACTTTCCTTAGGAATTTTCACTTTTGTCCGGTGACACCGAGACGGAATAACGACTTTAATCTTCTTACGCATAAAACCGTGTTTTTGTGGGATTCCAAACGAAAATGCGAGTGTTGGCTGGCGCGTTGACCGTTCGTTTATAAGAAACTTACAATTTACTTCGAAGGTATATAAGAGGCTTTCCAAGTGACGAGAGTACAACCAACGTTTCTTCGAAGCTTTCTCTCTCTCTCTCTCTCTCTTACTCTTTCGCTTTTACGTTTCTTCGTTTATAAGTATCGCGAGCTTATTGCCAACGACAACACCTGTTTTCTTTCTCTATTTAATATATATATCGCTTTTGATTATAATTTTTAACGTTAATAACTACTTAGCAAAATTAATAACGTATATTTTGTTATTATGTTAGACAGAAAAATTTTGTTGAAAATTTGTTAATAAATATTTTCACTTTTCGATAGATTCGTTTTAGATTTTATTTGGAATTCGAGAGAGAGAGAGATATATATATATATATAGATAAATAAATATACCAGTTGTAAATAAACATGTATGAAAAGAAACGGTCAAGATTAAGTTGTTTTATAGAATGAGCTGTAAGTAACGGTAAACATTCGTTTTTTACTTTCAACGTAGATAAGATCAAAGTTTCACTTAAGTTAAAGTACTTTGCTTTTAAACACGTATATATATATATGTACTATCCTTTCTTCGATACAACTTTCTATAGAAAATCGTTCGATATAGTACGTATTTAATCTCTTTTTCAAATTGTATCTATATTATTTATATTATAAGCGAATCAAACTCGTATATCTGTATTAAAAATATGTGACAATGCACACACACACTTACATATATATATATATATATCCTAGAGATAAATAAACGTTTCTCGTGTCTAACAAATTTGTCGATAAGTTTAGATAACGTATTTTACTTGGAATCAAATTTTAAATTCTAAGCACGTATATCGTTTTTGTAAGTCTTCTTTTCTACCCCGTTCTCGAGAAACTTTTTTTGTTTTTTCTTTTTTTTTTTTTATTCCGAGAATCCAGAAAGAAACGTCTTTTCCAAAGCCAACGTCCGTGGACGTCCAGCCGAAGTGAATCATTTCCCGTTTCTACGCACGACGCTCCTGGGAGTAGCAACGTAGAACAATCCAATTTCTGAAATCGGTTTTACGCTTCGAAGATATCGTTCTAGAGATTCGAACAATGTTGCTTTTAAAACTCGAATCATTTTGTCAATTCTACACACGAATTTTATTACATTTTATTATCCTTTTCCTATTCTTTTTCGTTAACGCGTAACCCGTTTTTTACGGGTGGCGTGAGGGGATGGGAGTGGAGGGGGAGGGTGTGGGTTGGTTCATAATTCATCCTCGACGGATTAATAAGCAATAACGAATTAAGGTAAATTAATGTTGCTTATTATCGTACTCGCCACTTCATATCGAGAACGATACACATTGCCGGAACTTTCGATTACGATCGGAAAAATTAATTATAACTCATAGAGGTGGAATTATCAGATCTATCGGGAGAACACCCCCTCCCCCTCACACCCCTACCCCCAACAACTTAACATCGTTGTTCCCATCTGACAATTATTACACACCTTTTTAGGATTAAATCGAGATTTAATTAAATAATAAATGCTCTTACGCGTTCGCTCGTCCGAAATTTAATTGTTTCCATTATACCATGATGGGTGGAACGGAGGAAAAGGGGAGGGGAGAAGAGTCTGGGATTTCAATTTCCATAAATATCTATTATTTAATATATATATATATATATATAGATAGAATTTATATCCGGTTCTTACGAAGTTTATGACTATTTTCCTCCCTAATACCCACCCCAAACGAAAGAAAAATATATTTTATATATTTTTCACACACATGATAGAATTAAATTAACTTTATTTTCTATCTTTAACGAGAGAAGGGAACATGTTAAGCAATAAGAAATTAATTGACGAGGCAAGTATAAACATCTTTAAACACGTTAGAAATATAAGACAAGAATACGCTTGTAACTTTACATAATTAATAAATACATTTTATTGTTGTTATAATCTATAGTAATTTAAACAGTTTAATTATGTAATTCAATATGTAAGTATAATTAATAACAAGTACTCAGTCAATAGATTGTAAATATAATTAAAAATAATCAAGATTTTTCGTTAACGTAACGATACTAAATTCTTGTATCGGAGGTTATATCCGCGAGACAACGGGAAACAGATCGGCCAGGTTGATCGTACCGGTGCGTAATCCAACCAAGAGAATCGTTAAATGACTCGTGTGACTTAGCGTTAGTTAGAAGCTGAGAGAATGGGAATTCGTGGAGGAACCAAAGTGGGTTTACATCGCAGTTAAGTTTCGTCGTAACGTCTGTACGACGATAAAGGGTAGCTCATCGGAGGTTTACGTGTATATATATATGTATGTGTAAGAGAGAAAGAGAAAGAGAAAGAGATGGAGATAGAAATAGTTATAGTAAAGCAACGCTAGCGTTAGTGGCGTTAAACCGTCTTTCTACAATCGGTGACGATGCCGACGTTGAGCGGATTTACCGTCCATTTGGCAAATGAAGATGAAACTGCCTCGTAGATTACAGAAAGAGAATCCTTCAAGCATTCGCGTTCACGGCAATCTCCAATCGTTACAGATACCGATCGTGATACGATCTGAATCTCTTCATTTCACTACCTTACTCTCTCTCTTTCTCTCTCTTTAGTCTTGATTCTAATTGTCAAATGATCCTGGTTAATAGACTTGAAAGTGTCGCTATTGGATTGAAGAGATCGAGCGTCGAGTTAAACGTTCATTTAATTAAACTTTTTCGATCAATTAAAAATGAGAATATTGAATTACAATTTATCTAACATCTTACATAATTTATCTTTAATGATTCGATAAAAATTGTCGTATATATTCTATATATGTATACTATTTATATATGGTTAAATAAATTAATATAACGAAATGTGAATTTTCTAGGCTAGGTGGATGATAAAAAATTTGAGAAGACGATAAAAAATTAGGAAAAATTCGCGTGGTAAAGTCGTAAAAATCTATAATAACATATAGCTTTTAGAGACATGTGAAAAACCGCAAGAACGAGATGAGATCGAACGTGTGACAAGCTACCTAGCCTAGTAGCTGTTCGCGACGACAAAAGGCAACCATCGTCCGACGTTCGTTTACCTTCCGGCTAAACCTTCTTTTTTCTTTTTTTTTCTTTTTCCTACCTCGAAGGGATGAGAAAGGTCCGACAATCGGAGAGTTTATTTTCAATAGGGCACATGGCCTCTTTGAACAGTTTCGTCTACCGATATTACCCTTTGTAGTAAATTAAGCGATAATCGTTTCTACCTCTTTCCATTTTCTCTTCTCTCTCTCTCTCTCTCTCTCTCTCTCTCTCTATCTATCTGTCTCTCTCATTCCTTTTTCTTCTTTTTTAATTTTCATTTCCCTTTCCCTTTGTTCCACCATTCCTTTTCTTTTTTTCTTTTTTCGACAGTGGTATCGTACGTCAATCGCACACGTCTATATTAAAATATCTCATACCATCGAGAAATATATAATTCATATACATTCATTTCAAATATTTAACGTTATAATATACCTTTTAAAGTACAAGAAATCAATCTACATGATTTCATTATTAAACTCTTATAAATACAATATATTCTCACATTCGATGACGAACATTACGATAAACCGAGAGTTATAATGTAACGAAGTTAAAAAGATGACAAAAAAAAGTTAGAGAAAGGGATAGATACATGTATAAATGCAAGAACAAGAGAAAGAGAAAGAGAGCGCGTGTATACTATGGGTAGAGGGGCGGGGGGAAACTAAATTTAATATCGCGCGGATTCCAATCTCCCGGATTATTTTGGAATGTGGGTATGGGGGGGGGGGGGGGGGGGGGGGGAGAGGAGGGGGACGGGCCTGAGAGAACGGGATACGCGGTGACAAAAGTTAACGAGATGGAAGTTAATTAAATTCCGGGCGGACAATCGCTGGTGGGAAAATTTGACAATGGCTCGCTCGCTCGCTCGCTCATATGCGCGTTCGTCCGAGTTACGCTCGTTTCGTTGTGCGTTCGCACGTAACTACCTACGAAACATAGGAGGAGACCATATACGGAGGTGATAGATAGATAGACAGATAGATCGAAAGAGAGAGAGAGAGAGAGAGAGAGAGAGAGAGAGAGAGAGAGAGAGAGAGAGAGAAAGGTATAAAAACAGTGCGAGATATAAAGAGCAAGTGAGAGAAAGAGAAAGAGAAAGAGAGAAAGAGAGAGAGAGAGAGAGAGAAAGGTATAA